TAGCAAGCCTTCAGTTGTGCTGGATTGATACACACTGACCTTCATTCTGTCCGTATTTCAGACAAGAATGGAAACAACTTTTGGGCCAGCCTACTCTGCTGTGACAACCATCACAAAGGGTGAGCGTTTTTCAGGTGTGGAGCTTCTCCCCTCTCCCCAGAGAGCTGTGCCTGATTCCTACCAATTTTGTTTGTTTGCTTCACAGATCATAAAGCTGTTGAGAGAATCACTATATGTTCATTACAGGCAGGTGCTATCTTTAGTATTGCACAGCCCCGGTGTTATTTGATCATGGCATGTGATCATCAAGCATGATGGAAATGAGTATGCGCAGAAGTGTCTTTACAGTGCCACTGGGAAGCCCTTGCTGAAATTAGGATAGTGCAGCAGGGTTTGATACGCAGCTCAGTTCCAAATTCTATTTTTCCCTGTGACTTCTCACACAATCATTGTCAGGGCAGAAAATTTCCATCCTCGCTTTCTGCCTAAATGTGAGTCACTCTGGACACTTTGGTAAAAACCCCTGTGGCTGTTTTTAGCACAGACAGGAGGGGTTATAAGTATACCTGCTCATTTTATATTTATATTTTTTTCCTCAAAGCCCAGCAGGCAAGGAGTCTGAGCCCTGACACGTGGGATGTATGTAGGAAGAGGTTTAGTTTCATTTTGGAATAAAAATGCTTTAACTTTAGTAAAGATAAGAAACTGTAACACTGATTTAGATACGGAAGTGAACATCTGTCTGGGGGAAGGGTTTGGATTACATTTGTGCATTTGTACAGATATTTCTGAACTCCTGAATACTTACATTTAAAATTTTATGTAAGTCAGTAATGTGATCTTCATATAAATATTTCCAATTTAACATAGCATGCTTCCCGTGTTATAAAATATTCAGACCTCCCTTGATCTAAGGAATTTTTGTGGGTGACTGAAACGTGTGGGAGTATAAGGTTTCCTTCTAATAATATTTTAAACCTATGGGTCTGGTGGAATATTGTCTGTGCTCTTTTCTGAGCAAGCTGCCTTCAAAGGGTTGCATGCATTTCAGCAAGCTGTCAGAGATCAGTTCTGCCTGCACTGATGTGTCCAGGTCAAAAACTGGAGTGGGAGAAATCCCTAGTCTTTTCCAAGGAAAACTTAGAGCTACAGAAACCCATAGCTTGGCAGTGGTACTGAGGAGCCTAAATGCTGCTTTTTTTTTTTTTTTTGCTTTAAAGCTGACGGGACCAATACTTTTAAACAGCATCGTCGGACCCCATCCTCCTCCAGCACACTCACCTACTCCCCACGAGATGAGGACGATGGCATGGTAGGTGTTGGAAGGAGCCCCCCTCCTGTCTGACTTAGCTGGTTATCTCTCAAATGAGAGATGTTTGGTGCTCCTCCAGACTTCCCTGCCTCCCTCGTCATTCCCGTGCACTGCACTGTATCAGATGCAGTGCCAGATGTCTGCACTGGGGGCAGGACCAACCTCAGCAGTCCCCAGCTGTCTTCATGCTTGGAGCAGTGGGGGAGCAGAGAGAGCTTCTGACCTGGGGCATTGGGTTGGCACTGCTGGTGCTCATTTTCAGACTGGCTTGAAAATTGTTCGTGCTTACAAAGTCCAGGCACTGCAAATGCCACAGGCCTATTTGTGGGGGTGCTTCTGCCTCCTGTTGTAAGCAGTGTGCCCTGAGTCTCCTCCTGAACTCGGGAGGAAACAGAGTTGTCAGCGATGTTTGAGGCCATGGCTGAAGCCAGGCAGCCTCGATCAGGGCCTGTTAGACGGACAGCCCTGCAGCGCGGCCCACTCCGCAGCGCAGCCGGCCCCACAGTTATGACCAGCAAAATCCCTTCCTCCTTCCGCCTCCAGATGGGGCTTCTGACCACAGGGAGCAGGTCTGAAACCCGCCGAGCCGGTCCCCTGGCACTACAGACTACACTCAGCCCCTGGGGATTACATCAGTGGGGTCTTCTCACGCAAACCCTTCCCAAGTCTCGCAATGCCTTTGCAGAAACACTCCTTCCTGTTTTGTATCAGGCTCCCTCCTTCATTTCACACTCTCTGAGTAGCTTCTTTTTTGGAGATTTAGTGATCCAGCAGGTCTTAGGGTTGGCTGCTTAAAGAGAAATTAAGACCAACTAAATCAATTAATTCAGTTAAATCAAGAACAGTAACAGGAAAGCAAACCTCAGTGAACAGAGAGCGCTGAGGCCTTGATCTTTTAGTGTCCCTAGTACTCCAGCCACACCTTGTAGCCACAAGCGCCTGTTTAGATTTAAGCATGTGAGTAGATTCTTCATATTAAGCAAGTACTTGTAGACTTTGGAGTAGCCAGGCTGCTTATCAGGTTACGAGATGCAGCTTCTGAGCCAGGGATAAGTGGATCACTGCTGTTGATTAAGTTAGGCACTGACAGAGACGCTGGGTTGGCAGTAACAGTATGGAGCTACCACACTTCTTAAAATAAATTTGATACCAGATTGCAAAGAGGTTTATCGTCAGCATCCTATAAAGTTCCTTCTGTTGCCCAGGGACCTTGCTGTGTTTTGTGTGAGCGTGTGTTTGTTTTTCAAAAAGTCCTTTGAATATTTGGCCTGTATCCTTGGCAAATGCAACCTTGCGTTGCCTCACTGATGCCATGGTGCTGGACCACTGTTGCAGCAAGCCCTTGGCAGGAAGCACTGAGCTGGTGGACTGAATGCTGTGTTCACTGTGCCCTTTTCATGAGATGGTACAGTTGTAACAAAACACAGGTGAAGATTTTCCAGGGGAATAGAGGGTGCTAAAGGCATTAGATTTAGCCACGTCTGACACTGAAGCTCCCTGACTCTCAACTTTGAAAGCCCCAATGTGGCAAAGTGAGCTGTGCAGCCAAGAATAAGAGAGCGTTCTCTTAGCTCTTAGCCCCAGTCCTCTTGGACAGTCTCAGCCTACTTTCCCTGGAGTGCTAAACATCATTAAGCAAAAATAGCAAGAGGAGTAATGACTGCTTCAGGAAACAGCCTGCGGCATGAGGTACTTAAAAACCAGAAGCGCCACAGCCCTGCTCTGCCTGCCGCTCCAGACAAACTCTCACTAACCTCTTTGTGCAGCTTCCTTTGCTTTGTCAAGAAATAATCTGGGATTTCCCTTCCTGATCGCTAAGTTTTCCTTTCTCCAAAAGCTGCCAAAGGCTTCTCAGCCATCATCGCAGAGACAGCTGGAGACGAGTCAGAGCCCTCCTGTGACTGCCCCCCCGCTTTTTCTTTCTTTTTAAAGCCTCTATTAATGAAAGCAAAAGCAGAGCAATGTTCTGTGTGCAAGGCGGGGATTATTAGAGCGTCTGCTGTCATCTTCCCTGAAAACAGTGCCACGTGTTCCCAGCCTCGCTCTGTCTACAGGGAACAGGAGCGAGTACTGTGCTCTAGGTCTGGCTCCCCTTTACATGGAGGCTGCTTTTTTAGCTGATACGGTAGAAGGAGGCCAGGTCTGAGCTACGTCTAAAGACTACAGCTGAATATTGGGCAAACGTACACTGGTGAAGGAAGAGCTGGCTGTGGCTGTCCAGAGTCTCATTTGTTCACATGCAGCTGCATCAATGAACCAGAGGCTGGACTGAGTTATCTGCCAGCCACAAGTTATTAATCCTCCATCAGAAGTTGTTTGAGCAGCTCCATCACTTGGGCTGTTTGAAGATGGACTTGACATTTAGCGCAGAAATAGCCCTGGCGCAGCTGTGGAGCCTTGGGGAGGCGGACCCCTTCTGATAGATCCTCCCACATCTGACTCTGGCCAGAGCAGTGCCACTGGTTGGGACCTTGCCCCTGAACTCTGCAGGCCTTGGATCTGCAAACCCGGTGGGACAGCCCTGTGCTCTGTGGCTTAGGGTACGCATGGGTGTCCTGTAACCTGGACATATGCCTACAGGGTGGGGGTCCTGTGTTCCTGAGCCCTGCTAGTCTGTTTGCAATGCAAGTGCACCCTCCCCTTGTGCCAGCTGCTATATGCATCTAGTGATAAATTGTCCTTACCCTGCAAAGTTCATGCTCTAAATAGGCCAGGCTTGGAATGGGAAGAAATGCAGTCATTGACCCTGTAGAGCTGGGGTCTCTCGAGACTTAGCCTTGTTTACTTGGTAAAAGCAAAGGCTGGAGACAGCGAGAGGGGCAGCAAACACCAGCGCACACCTCTGCCAGTCAGTGTTGTCACCATGGTCCCAGTGGAGCGATCTTTCTTCACACATCAGTTTCTTCCGTGCTCAGTTTATACCAGCATTAGCCCAGCCAGAACACTGAGAGCTGAGCCAGTCCCATAGCAAGGCTGTGTCTTCTGCCCCTGCCTCCTGGAAGCGCTCTTGGGTTGTCGTCCTCCTCCTTGCACGCTGCAGTCCATGCAGGACGCTGCTGTTGATAAAACTGCCTCCCTACAGAGCCTGCCTTTGATGCTGTGGTCTTTGTGTCACCTCCAGAATAGAAATTAAGCACAGTCACTCTTGTTATTTTAATAACTTCTGTTACTAGTGGAGGAAATAATAAAATTAATGGATACACACATAAAATTGATTTACCTCGTCATAACCCTTCCTCCTCAAGGTTTACATATTTAGCCAATAAGTGTGCCTTCTTTATGAAAAAGAGCTTTACACTTTGGCTTCTAAGCAGATGGAGCATTTCTAAGCTACTAGGATCCAGGATTGTAAAAAATCTGAAAGCAGAGCAGTGTGAAGAACCAGCAGAATCCTAGATTGTTCCTCTTCTGGAGGCCAACAAGAACTGCAGTATATTCTCTCTCTAGGAAAGATGCTCTTTGAAGTTCCTCTTACATCTTTTCTTGCTGAATTTCCTAGCGGGCCTCTTGTATCCTTTTTGTCTGTCCTTAGGTCTGATGTTACACACTTTCACCCAGGGCAAACACCACAAAACGCAGCTTGGGATGTTCGGAT